GAAGAAAAAAAGTCTTGATAATTTGTTATTCATGTATTGAAAGATCACAGAATCATATGAATGTTATATATTAGAACTGAATTTTAATAAAGCATTTGATATTCTAGGTCAGAAAAGCTAGCTTGACATATTTATCCAAACCAATTTATATTATTAAAGGTATAAATGTAGATTCAGAACTGGCAAAGAGAGCAAATAAAGGATTATAATAAAAAAGAAATATCATATTGGAAGAGACAGCTAGTTAGATTGGCAGTTGGCCTTACTGAATGTCTCCATGTGGAAGTTATAGTATAGAAAGCATGGATGAAATTCTGAGACAGCACAGAATTAGAAGAGGTGTTAGTACCAGCTGGAAAGTGAAGTGCTAAGGGAAGCAATTTTTTGTTTGAATAACTGTAATGTCATAAATCTTGAGGGGGATGGGGGGAGAGAGAAGGATTGGAACTGAATTATATGTAGTACAGAAGAAGGAAGAAATCTAGGGATATTTATGTAGCATATAAGCTTTATCTCTCTCTCTCTCTGTCTCTCTCTCTCTCTATATATATAACAAAACAGACATAATCCTATAAAGTACTATGCAGTACAGAAGCTGAATGAAAGAACTAGCATACTTTGGCTTGTACCTGGGAAAGGTACCAAAGATGAGACAGGTCTTCTGTAGGCAGTTGGGCTGCAGTAAGTCTTCTAGAACATTATGGCAATTAGAGGTTGCTGAAAGAAGAACATTAAACATGACACATATATAAATTAATAACAGAGCCTAAATGTATTTATCTTGGAGAAAGAGCAAGGAGGGGTGAGGCATGGTAACACTCCACAGATAGTTGACAGTTAAGGGCATGAACAATGAAAAAAAGAACTGTTTAGGGAATCAGAAGATGGAGCTAAGAATAAAAAGTTTAGGCTGAATATGTCAAAGCCTTCTCACAGTGAGGCATATTAGTCTGCAAAGGAGTCAAATATATATTGAACTGATGGCTTTAAACATGACTGAATAGAACTCTAAGATCAAGGCTTCAGAAAATGAATGTTCTAGGTTAGACCCCTGAACACATAATTAACTGATAAGCCACGTTTACAAATTTCTTTGTGTGGCAAAAGGCTGCTTTGACATCAGTCCAAACCTTGGAAGCTCTCTATTTTTCCACTTATGGCTGCTCAAATCTCTACATCTCCCCAAATCTCTACCTATGAGAAAAGGACACTAGTATTTCCAGCTCAGAAAGTACTGTTACAGTCCTCTGGGCTACAACTGAATAGCTGCAACTTGCACAGCAGAATGTGAGTTTGGACAAAGCCCTTTGTACAAACTGTGCTCCACACAGTCAAGGCCACCATGACTCATGCACACATGATTGCAGCCTTCAGGATTTTCATAATCCTTTGTTTGTTATTAATGTTGGAGTTTTCACCATTTTAATGACAGATCTTTTAAAGGCACTTTAGGCAGGTCATTTTACTCATCTGCATGTTTTTCCCATAGTAAGATCAACCAAATGATTTTATGAATTTTGAACAAGCTCATCACTTTGGCATTGGATAGCCAAATTTACTTTTTGGTTTGATGTTAAAGGATTTAAAAACTGAGCAAATACTGGTGTTCATTCTTCCCAATAACTTACTTTAGCATCACATTCACCATATCATTTTATATCACTTAGTATCATTGCCGATGCTTGCTCTGACTTAAACAATAAAAAGCAGCCAATATCTTGCTATAAAAAGTTCACATAGAGAACAGCTTTCCAGTTGACCTTTTATCTTGTACAAAAGTATTGCTTATTTATTTTTAAAATATTTGTATTGTTAATTTTGCTAAAATGTATATATGTATTCTTAAAATCAATACATCATGGATACTTGTTACTTAAAAATTCAGTGATTTTTGACTTATTATAGGCAAGTATAATCAATCACCCAAACCATGCATATTCACAAATGACTGTGGTTTGCAATGAGATCTTGGAAATCTTTACAATTTCTAAAATAATATTTATTTTTAATATCCTGGACAACATTGAGTTTAAGGAGTAGAAATAAAGTCTCTGTGATATATATAGTAAAAAGAGTTGAATTTCAGGCAAAGGTAGCTGGAACAGATGAATGAAAATAGCACAGTGGAATTAAATGCTGAGAGCTGCAGGAATATGATGCTTCAGACTTTTCTTTGTGTAGACATATCTTGTGAAGTCTATAAAGCCCTTATTCTGAGGTATACAGCCTTCTTTTCAAGCCCATGCTCAAGCCCTTTTAGCCCCAGGAAGACATGCTGTCAGACCTAGTCTTCTTGGCATACTTGGCACAAATGTGAACACACCACATGCACACACACATGCACACACACATAAACGTACACCTGCAAACACACACAAAATGAAGAAACAGAAAGGCCTAAGATGAGAACAAAAAGTAATTGAAATGACTGATGGACCAGTGGACAAAGAATGTAAACAGATTTAGCTTAGTTTGTCTCAGTAAAATAATTAATTAATTAATTAAATAGGAGCACTTTCAAGGACCTATAAAGGAAAACAATAACAAAAAAAAATATTTTCAGTTTACAAAGGTGTCATTTTTAGAAAACTATCTCATTTTGTGGTGGAAGCAAGGAAGGATCCTGCAGTCATGCTTCATCTGCTGCTTATTCTGCTCCCTGCCAAGCCTGACCATGGATAGTCTGATGGATGGAGGGACTGTTCCATCCATTTGAACAACCTCTATTTTTCTGATGCACCTTCTGAAAATCGTTTTTACTGCTCACTGGGCAAGCTCTAATCCACCTTGAAAACGGCTTGTATCTTCAAATTGGCTCCTGTCATTTCAGTTTTCTTCTGAAACAAAAACTCAGCCTCTTGATGTTCACATTAGAGGAAGAGCAGTTATTTTGCCGCCACATTCAGCCTCCTTTGTAGAAGTATTAAAATACAGCCATTGAGCAGATGGTTTCTTGAAATTCTGGTAAAAATCCAGAAATCTATTTTTCATACATAATGCTAATAAAGAGGCTATATATTGAAAATTTCTCTGGTTCCAAGGCTCTAATTCTCCCCCATACAGACAAATTGCCTTGTGTATGTGAAATTCCTTACTTGGGAATAGCATTTACTTCACAGCTGAATAAATCTAGCAGTACTTCATAAATGTTAATATATTGTGAACCATAGAACATCCTGGCACAGAGGGTTCAACGTTGCTATTAAGTACTGGACAGCTGACTGTCGGCAAAATATACTCTTATGGTGGTAAACCTTTCCAGGCTGAAGAGTTTTAATGGTGGCATAATTATAAATGGAATGCCTCAATGCATGGGCAATAGCAAATGATCAAAGACCTGATCTCATAACAAACCATACATATTGCAAACCACACAAAACTTTGAAAGTACTGAATATGTTACATATTATCACCGTGGGGTGTACTTGTTAGCCTGATAAAGAGCTTGCATGCTCCTGCAACTCAGTGAGAGGAACATGGCTGTGAATTCTGCAAATTTGGCAGCTGTTTCTAAGCTGCTAGAAGGGACTGTGGCTAACATCTCCCACTGCATTTTCCACAGGGCAGTGACATCAGGAAGAGCTGAGCTGAAACCACCTAGCACTGCGTCATGGGAGGTTATGGTTTCAAGAACCCATTCACTTGATAGACCCGCAGTCTTGGTGACACCTTGCAGTAATTAATTGTAAGTATGGCTGCTCTTCAGCAACTTTGATAAAAATAATTTGTTACTAGAAACATCCCTTTCAACCTTAGAGAGAAATTAAGATTTGTTGTCTCACTTTGTCCTCTTCAAGCAATCCTACAGTTATGTTGTATGCCCCAAAACAGACCCTTGAGGGATGCCACACCACTCATCACTGGTCTCCATCTGGACATTGAGCCATTGACTGCAACTTTTTGTAGATGAACATCCAGACAATTCATTAACCACCACATGGTCCACCCATCAAATCCATGTCTCTCCAATTTGGAGACAAGTATGTCATGCCAGACAGAGTCAAAGGCTTTGCAGTAATCCAGGTAGATGACATCAGTTGTTCTTCCCTTATCCACCAATGCTGTAACCCAGTTTTAGAAGGCCACTAAAATTCTTAGGTATGATTTGTGTGATCTTAGACATGATAAGTGAAGCTATGTTGGCTGTCACCAATTGCCTCTATGTCCGCCATGTACCTTAGTACATTTTCTGAAAGGTTCTGTTCCATGATCTTGCCAGGCACAGAGGTGACACTGACTGGCCTGTAGTTTCCAGAGCTTTTTTTTTTTTTTTTTTTTTTTTAATGGGGGTTATGTTTCCCCTTTTCCAGTCAGTGTGAACTTCACTGGACATCCTGGACAGCCACCACTTTCTGGCTTAGCAACTTATGCCTATGTGGCCATGCCTTATAAAGATTGAGCTTCATCTTGGGGATAAGATACCACACATTTCTTCCTAAACCTTACATTTTATTATACAGTAAGCCTGCTAGGATGTCATGTGGTAGCCTGAGGTTAACAACCCATTTCTCCACTCTTTTTGCCTTGTTGCCTTCAGGGGGCAGTGGCGACCTGGTTCAGGAACGGCACGGCGACCAGCCCCAGGCCGCTTGGTCCATCAGCTCACAGACACCAATGTGGTGGATGGCAAATGGCGTTTATTGTCGAGTCACATGGTGTTATTTAGCCTAGGCCCACAACGTCGCTTCCGCTTGCTTACGTCACAGACCACGCGCTACTGCCCATCAAGGGAGGGGCTCTATCTTTCCATACAGCGCAACATCTTCCGGCCACCAGACCCTAACTACCCACATTGCCTCTATAAGAGATCGAAGACAAGTCTTTCTGGTTGTTTTTTGGAAAGTAGAAGTGGACAAGCATATACAAAAGAGCAATTCCTAGGATAAACATGTTGCACATGGATTAATAGGGTGTGAAATCACATTATGTGCAGAAACTATCACCCACTGGTGGGCCTGAGTAATTTCAGCCTGTGGAGCTCATGTAAGGAGAAAAAATATTATGCATAAGCACCTTAGCACATGGTTTTAGAGAAAATGGAAAACAGTAGTTTTTTCACTTGAACAAAATTTAGTTAGCATTTGAACAGTCACTTTTTTTATTCCTGCAGTAGTCACAGACTGGAAGGACTTAAGTCTGAAATTCTGAGCGCATATTCCAATACAGTATGAAGCATGAGATTCATGTTGAAAGAGAACGGAATTGTTTTCCCCCAGTAGACAGAGGACAGCTTAACACACTTTTTGAGTCAGAGGCTTCAAATTTTGTCCACATAACAGAGTGTTCATCTCATATCACAAGGGAAATAAATTGAAAGAAGTTTATTTTAAAGTTCTTTCTATTTATTATTTATACCAAAATATTTTTTGTAACTTTTTATAACTGTGATTCATTGTTGTACGCTCTACAGTGACCAAGTGACTGGATAGAGAGCTCAGGAGCAAGTCTTCTGTAGCAACAGATGCACATCTTCAAATCCAACCCTCAAAGTATGGAGTTCCTTAAAGCGATCTTTAGGAATCTGCATAAAGAACTTCAGCCTGAAATCACAGAATCATTAGGGTTAAAAACACCTCCAAGATCATCTGGTCCAACCATCACCCTACCACTAATGTCACCCACTAAACCATGTCCCGTGTCCCTAAGCACCAAGTCCAACCTTTGCTTAAACACCCCCAGGGATGGCAACTCCACCACCACCCTGTGCAACCTATTCCAATACCTGGCTACTCTTTCTGAGAATAAATGTCTCCTAATTTCTAACTTAAATCTCCCCCGATGCAACTTGAGGACATTCCATCTAGTCCTATCACTAGTTATCTGTGAGAAGAGGCAGACCCCCAGCTCCCCACACCTTCCTTTCAGGTAGCTGTAGAGAGCAATAACATCTCCCCTGAGCCTCCTCTTCTCCAGACTAAACAACCCCAGTGCCCTCAGCCACTCCTCACAGGACTTGTGTTCCAGGCCTTTCACCAGCTTCATAGCCCTTTTCTCATCCTGAAAAAGTTTGAGATTTCATAAGTACCCAAGAAACTCGCAATAGCACTGGAGTGAAAATCAAAAAGCTGCTGACTCCATTGTTCCTGGCATTCATCCGTGTCTGTGTGGTGTTTTCAGACAGAGGCTTCAAACTATGGTGGCTCAGTGTGGGGAGCCAGCTGGCACTGGGTCATGCTTGCAGGCAGCCATGCAGGGGAAAATTCCAGCCTTGTCCCCTTCTGTCAGAGCTGATGTTCTTCTTCCCACAAAGTTCACTGGTATCTGCAAATCAAAGTTTTGCAAGGAAGTCTTTTACTTGAAATTCAGCTATACTCCCACTCCTTACTCTTTGTAATCAGTATTGAGCAGCATAATCGCAGGGCTGCTTGGAGCACTAATCTGGGGACTGAGTGGAAGGGTCAGCAAGACGGTTCAGATGCAGCCCAGAACTCCATGGGACTTGGTGGATACATGAAAAAGAGGGAGTGCAGTAGTTTGTGTGCATCCTTGGACCCTTCAAAGCAAAAATAAAGCCCAGCTGCCTATTCTGGCTTATATCCATGGCAGACAGCACTTCAAAATTGTTTTGCAAGTTGTGTTTTTTCTTTTTTCTTTCTTCATTTTTCCCACACTGAAAGAAGAATATAAAAAATAAATAAATAAAACTGAACAACTTATTTCATTAAAAGGAACAACTAACAAACAGGCAAATAAAATATATGTTTCTATGTGTGCAAGTCAGTGTGAATGTGTGCACAGGAGAAACAAAATGGGTATTTGGCTCCCAGGGGTTCAAGCTAACAGGTGGAGTAGCTAATTTCCCATAGCTGGGCAGCAGGTAGAATCATCATTGTTTCATCTGCTTTCAAATCAAGTCCATAGAGAAAGAAAAACTATTTTTGTTTGCTTGTTTGTTTAACTTTTTGCCTTGTAAGAACTGCTGTATGGAAAATGATTTATGTAAACAAAGGATCCAGATTTTTCTAGGTTTCTGAAGTTTCAGGTTGGGGATGTTTCCTGAAAATATAATATCCATATTCCCTGGTTTATCACAATTTAAAGAAGTAGTGGAGTTTGGACATCACTGCTGTGTTACATTTGTGACACAAAAATGAACATTCTCAGCGGGAATTCTTTCTTGTGAAACCTCAGTTATTGCTGGGGTTTTGATACATTTGGAGTTTTCAATACCAAAAGAATTCCATAATTATTTCATTTATTTATTTATTTGTACTGCCTCCTGTGACTGAAGAACATGAACCAGACTCAAAACAGAGTTTGAGTTCTATATCTTTCTCAATATATCTTCATGCATACTTCCTGACAGGCAGAAGAAAGTTACTACTGTGTCCCAGTCTCAGCAGTAACAAATAAAATGGGACCATAACATTAAGTTGTGTTAACCTATTTAAGATATTTTCTCATCCCTTTAGGCAATTTAAATATTAGCTTACTTTTTCAAATTTCAGTTAGGAATAATATACCATATATATTATGGTATATATATTATTATATATGGTGTATATATATATTTGATATAGTATATATATATATATTATAAGCAAGCAAACAAACAGTTCTTCTTACGAAATTCTTGTTGCAAAATTCTACCCTGTGTTCCTTAATCATCATAATCTTTTCTTTTCCCGCTTATTTTAACATACTTGTGCTTTTAAAATAATACGACAATAACATTCCTAGAAAAGTTTTCATGCTTCATGAACTTCTGGCTTTCTATAGTATAGATTCTTGTATTTTATTTTTTTTCATGAACTAGGATACAAAAGAGTACAGTGCACAAAATCAGAAAATACGGTCTTGAATCAAAGCTGTTAAAACCTAAGCTCATGTAGTTCATACAGTTATATTTATAGGTTAGCAACTACCATGTTTTTAAAGTTTGCAAAAGGTTCAAGTAAGAGAAGATAAAGGTTAACTTTGGAACTTGGAGAAACTCTTCTGAGAGCAGACTTTTTGAAATGCAGATGACCCAGTTCTAATTCTATCTAAAAATAAGAATTTCTTGTGCACATGAGCCTTCTAAATGCATTTAAGTCTCAGAGCAGTGCATAAAATAATAATAATGACAATAAAAATAATAATAAAGACAGATGTCATCTGAAAAATTAAGATAATATTTGATTTATGGTTACATGTCTAGATTTAGCAAATACATTTTTCACAACTTTGGTTGGAGATTCTGACTCCTGCTTTAGGCAGGACCTACTTTAATATTACTCTTCTGGCTGTTGGAAGGATGCAAGATCCTGAGCTCAGTATGTTTATGAACTCAGAGAAGGTGTAGGTATTTCTGCAGACCCACTTGTTTTTCTGTTGAGATTTCCTTTTCTGCAGGATTCTGAATCCTTTTCTTTACCATACTTATATGAAAATAAACCTTATAATTTGTTGATGTAATCAGGGACACTCATATTTCTTTGTAGAAGTAATACTACATTTGAGAGATTTATCTCTTTCAATCAAGTGTTCTGACCAGAACGAAGAAAGCTGCAATTTGAATAATTTGTATCAATCACATCCAAGGATATCTAAAAATTGTTGCAGAAAATTCCTTAATATCTTAAAGATCAGATATTATTAGCCAAATGCACCATAACATTCTGACTTGTATAATACACTTCAAAGAAATGGAGAACTAGTGGTATGTGACTGGTGTTATCTGACCAGGACGTCTGACCTGACACAGGTGGACTCTGTTCAGCGTTAAATGGGCTCATCTAATTTACTGAACCCACTCAGGCTTAAGCTATTTTTTTTTCTTTCTTTCAGCTGACCTAATGAAGTCTTTTCAGTTTCAACCAAAACCATTTTTGCATGTTTTGTGGACAGAAAACAATTTCATTAACTGAAAATAAACAAAACTGAATATTTTCCAAAAAGTTCTAGTCCTTACATCATTTGTGCATGCATGCACTGGATAACTTGTTCAAGATGGATTTTTTATTTTTTATTCTTAATCAACAGCCACATACATGTAATTTTATTTATTTATTTATTTACTTATTTTTAGCACTTGCCATCTGTTCTTAATTAACAAAACAAACAGTGATGGATAGATAGATGCTGTGTCTTGTAATAGTCACAAGCTGTCAGCTTGCAGGTGTGGTGAAAACTTAGAAAGAAGAAAACAGATTCCCTGGCTGGGAGAAAATTCTTTATAACCTAGTTACTTAGTTTACGTGATTTAAGACCTCCACTGGATTTCTAGGTTTCTTTTAATTTATGAAGTTGAAAAACAGGATTCTTACTTCTCCCCTTATGCAAGTAAACAAACTGCTTCAAATGCAAAAGTAAAATAAAGCCCCTCAAATACGATTAACACTGTTAAAAAAGAATGATGATTAAAGACAGAGAGCTCAGGAAAAGTGTATGGATGAAACACAGAGCAATGACAATGGAACAAATGAAGGTAATTTACTGAAAAAGTAGCCAGAACAACAAAACACCATAAATTTGAGCATTGTCTCAAAGATATAAAAAGCTATTAACTGCAACATACCTGTGAGCAGAGAAGAATATACGGAGACTGAAAATTTGTGCTGCTGCAGTTTAAAAAGAAAAAAGCAAACAAACAAACAAAAACACCTAACTGGCTAACCAGAACAAAAATTCAAATGTATATATATAAATATATATGTGTATATATAGAGAGAACTTCCTTGTTAGGCAGAATAAATAGAATTTCCATACCACTATAAATATAGTACATACCGTATTATATTATTATACAAAAACTTACATTGACTGTGCACCTTCAAGGGAGGCAGTAGAGAACAAATATCAGTGCTTTTCTGTAACAGACTGACTGCAGGTTCTGAACTGGACTCTTGACACTTATCACCCATTATTCTCCACAGATTAGTGCAAATCTTCAATTTGTTTCTATACTGTTTATAAAATAATTAATGAGAAGTTAACAAATTCCAGCATTTTCAGGAAAGAGAACAGGAATATGGAAATTATCCTCTGTAGAAATCCATTAGGTAAGCTTTCCTTTATAGATCAACAAAATAAATTATAAATTTATTTTTATAAACTTTCGTTTTAAATTTCAAGGCTTTGAAATATGTTTTTGCTTTGTATGCGTACAAAAACTAAGCCTTTCAGACACTGTTACACAACAAAGGACTTAATTTGCAACAAAGCATTTTACATCTTTTATCCTTCCAGAAAAGGAAGTCAGACCTAAACAACTACACCTGGTAAAACATTTTTAAACCAATACATTCTTGAATGTATTTAGGATTGAATAGTGTAACTTTATTTAATACCAAAAAAAAAAAAAAATCTTTTCCTACAGATTTTCTAACCAACTCATCCTTCTCAGGAACATCCCATTAACACTTTATCTAAAATAAAGAGGCACAGCCTTATCTCTGTGCAGTAGGTTTGGGGGGGATTTTTGTTCATTGGAACCAGACGTGATATTTTACTGTAAAACATTTCTGCTTTGCTGAACACTTTGTTTTTGCTGACATGTCAGCAAAAGAAAAAGAGCTATTTTGAGAGGGGCAAGATAACAAATCTTATTCTGTAAATTATATAAAAGTATACCTTTAAGTAATTTGACTAGCCCCATGATCTTCATCTGTAAGAAATAAATTCTGGTCTGTTACATTGATTTAAAGCTTACATAAATCCAGCCTAAATAAATTAAAGAAAACATATAAGTGTAACCAAGAAGTTCTGTTATAAATGTATTTTGTGTGGACAATTAAAAAATGTCTATTCAACCTTTTAAAATATTTTAATTTAAAATATAATTCCTTAATCCATAGTTATTCAGTAAGCCATTTTAGTTGGTTTTCTGTGTTAAAATGTCAAAAGTGTTTCCAAAAATTTTTGGATAATGTTATCCTCTGAAAATTATCCAGATGATGAGTTTTTCAAACTTTCCATGAATATACCTCTGCAGAGCTTCAATATACATGTTTAACTTCAGAGAATAGGTGAAAAATCTGGCCTGAAAATACATCTGTTTTCCAGCTAGTACCACCCTTCTACAATTTTCTATTTCCTTATGCCATTAGACCACCATGATTATGACAAAATGCTTCCTGTTGTATGTTAGACTTGTGAAAAGCAGGTCAGCAGGATGAGATATGACAGTAAATTTCAGCACTTAGTTTGTAAAAAAACAGTGTTCCAGAGAGTAATGTTAAAAATAAATAAATAAAAATAAAAACATCTGAAGATATGCAATAGATGTAGATGGTGAAATACAATGCTCCTGAATTACGTGGGCAAGTCTTGAGATGTCTGGGGAACAGTGGCAAGAATTCAAGACACCTATCACTTCTCTTCACTTCTGGTTAACTACATATTTTTGCAGGCCTCATCATAGTTTGGATACGTTTTCTGCAGGCAAGCCAACCCCTCTGTGGCAGCTGTGCCCTCCATTTTGGCTGAGGAGCTTGGTGCAAAATCAAGTTATACATACAAAGGGGTAACATCAGACCTAGGGCTGGAGCTTGATGAGTCTTGGACAATCATGACACACTGATGATACATGTTATTCATGCTGGCCCTCACCTAGCATGATGTTTGAGTATTCTCTACTTTTTTATCTCAATAATTCTTGCAGGATAAAAGCTTGTGAAGGTTTAGGACTAAATCAACTGGTGAAATGAGAAGGAAAGTAGTTTTACCCAGACACAATTTTGCTCATTTGGCTGTCTTTATACCTCTCTCAAAAGCATCAGGAAATGATGCTACCAGGATTCCTGCATCCTGGAGAAATTAGCTTAAACACTGCAACAATTCCCATTATAAATCCCCCAGACATTTCCTTACCCTTCAATATCCAGCTGTCCTGGCTTCAGCTGAGGTAAGAGTAAATTTTCTTCATAGTGGCTGGTATGGTGCCATGTTTGGGATTTAAGAGAAAAATAATGCTGATTACACACTAATGTTTTAGTTGTTGTTGAGCAGTGCTTAGAGTAAGACAAAAACTTTTCAGTTTTATGCTGTCCTATCAGTGAGGAGGCTGGGGGTACACAAGAAGCTGGCAGAGGATAGAACCAGGACAGCTGACCCAGACTGGCCAAAGGGATATTCCATACCATATGGCATCATGCTGAACAATAAAACTGGGAGGTTCATCTGGGTGCTGTGTTTGCTCAGGGATGGGATGATCTATGGGTGATTATGGGATGATCCATGGGTGATGAACAATGGCATTGTGCATCACTTGCTTTGTATATTCTTTTATTATTATTATTATTATTATTATTATTATTATTATTATTATTATTATTATTATTATTATTATTATCTCTTCTTTTCCTGTCCTATTAAACTATCTTTATCTCAACTCATTAGTTTTACCTTTTTTTGATTCTCTCACCCCCCTGTGGGGAAGTGAGTGAGAGGCTGTGTGGTTTTGAGCTGCTTGCTGGGTTAAACCACAATACCAACACTACAAAATCTGAAGATGAACATCCACTGACTAATCCAGTTACTGTATTTCACATACTTCTCCATTATATAACAGTAACAGTAAGAGCAGCAAAAAAATATATTATATACTTGATCTAACTAAGAATCCCTTGAAGTAATGAAACCAAATCATGGTAAAATGACGTAGTAGACAGGTAGGTTAAAATAAGCTGTTCTTCAGTAAGCTCAAGTTCATTCAAAAACTATTATATTCAGTACAGTTCACAGAAGTCTCTTCTGTCAACATCTGTCTCAACATATTTCAACAATAGCATATTCCCTAAAATTGTCAATTACAAGGGAGAACAATGCAGTTTCATTTAAATCCTGAGACACTTTAATACAATTCATATGATGCCTGTGAAGCATCATTGCAACTCGCCAGTTCAGAGTAAATCCCTCTCTTTGAACACCTTGTTGTGATGAGAGCTGCCTGCCAAGAAAGCTCTCAACAGATGGATTGAAGCTCTGAAGAATGTCTTTTTTGAGTCAGGTCTTAGAGCTGTCTTTGACACCACTTTCACAGTAAGACTTGTAAATCCTCCTGTAATTTTGGGGAGGGATAAGAGATGTGTCTGCAAATGCACCTGATCAAAATATAAGCCATACCAGAGGTATTTCCTAATCTCCCCTCCTCATTTCTCAAAAGATAATGAAAGTGTATTTCACTAATGCCTACTTTCTGCCTTAAAGGGTCAGCTATACAGCCTTCAAACATACAACATAGCAATGAAGTATCTGCATAAACAAGAGGTTATATCAGGTGTTGCCCAGACACATATGAAAGCAAATTAACAATGAGGCTCTTGTAATGACTGATTTTGTCTGTCTATCATATAACAGCAACTCTTAGCCCCTTTATGCATTTTAGGTTCACAGTTTGTTTGTTTGAGGGAGGGGGGATTACATTTTTGTTTTGCCTCTTTTTTTTTTTTTAATTGGGTACTTTAGCTGTAAGATAGTGACAGATAGTGACTTTGTAGAGTAATGGTACAAATTTTATCATTAGAAATTATATTGAAACCTTTGAGCACTTTAACCAAATCTCTGTACAGAAGATAAGATTGCAGGAGTACAGCAATAACTGCTCATGTAACAGAAGTTTTCTCCTGAACTCTTAAGTGACCCAAGTCTGGTTCTGGACAAGCCTTAAAAGGTTTATCTAAGCAATGAGATCCCTCTTGGGCCTGCAAAATTGAGCTGGCAATCTTGAGAATCGCCTATCTCACAATATTTCTAGTACTCCCTGTTCCAAGACTGATAAACCACAACAAGGACCTTCTTTGTAATGTAAGCTATTTATTTCTTTATCCGATTCTAATGGCACATGGAAGAACAACGCACATAGAACTGAAAAAACTTTTGGAAGGTTGTGATATTTCAAGACAATATTTTTAAACTGGTATTTTTCACTAGCAGAGCTCATGGCAGGACGCGAGAAAACGTTTGCATTTAAATATGTAATTTTGTTAAAACTGAAATATTTTGTTAAAATGCTTCACTTTAGACAGTATTTGACAGAAGATTTCTTAAATCAAGTGTACGCATTTTTTTCTAGCCAGAATTAGAGAGAAAATAAAAAGCTTATTTCATGAAACAGTGCTTATTATGATTAAATTCCCCCCCTCCCCCCCGCCCCCATTTTTTTTTTTACACAAACCACTGGTAGACAGACAAAATTAAGATTATAAACATCTGGGAGGAAAGCAAGATCCTGTCTTCAAATCCACTCCACTTAATAATAAGCTTAATTCACATTTTGCATGGTGACAAGAAAAAAATCCAGCAATCTGCTAATGGAGTGGATCTGAACTATAAAATTCATTGTGCAAGCCAATTAAAAACCTTAGTTTTCCACTATTAAAGGATTTCAAATAACTTAGTGAATCCCAACTAACATGTCTCATTGCAAACATTCCTAATAATTTAACAGAAGTGGACGTAAAAGAGGAAATGATTCAGTTTGCTGGTTTAGCTCTTTTTTATTTTTTATTTATTTTTTAATGTTTTTCTCACTTCAGATTAATCAAATAAAACAATAAAGAAACTGCAACACTGGAATTTAGATTGTTCCCTCATGTACAGTTAAAATGTTAAGACTTCCTTTTACTGCCATTATTCTGAAAATGGATTAATCGTGAAATGCCTGCATCTGTCTGAGGAAGATTTCATCCCATAGGTGAACAGAGATAATCTTTGATTCCACAGACTGGGCATATGTTATGCAAATTTTCCTTAATTCAGTTCTGCTTTTAATGTAACAAAATATGGATCTCAGGACACATTTACAGTTTATAAGGGAAAATCCTGAATATGACATTGTATTTGATCATCTTGAGGTTACTTTTGTGCAACCTGTTGAGAAATAAGAATTGCCTAGCAGACATTTTTTGTGTTTATGTTTTTGTTGTTGTTGTTTTTGTGTTGTTTTTGTTTTTTCTTGTAAAATTGATATATTTTAATGCATAGAACTACTAAAACTATACTGTACTTTTGGCCAAAATGTTGTAAGGACTTAAGTCAAGAAATATTTTGGCACCCAACAAGTTATTGCATTGATTCAATGTGACTATGCAAAAATGCATAAACTTAGTCATGTGTTTAAACCTTTCCAGACTGGTGTCTGAGAGAGCTTTAACACAAAAGAATGAATCTTCCTGTGCAAAAACATATAAACATCTATTTAATGTAAATATCATATGTCTGGCACAAATGCAATAAAATATTGCCAAAAGATTC